GGAAGCTCAGAGATAGAGAAAAGTGTCCTATTTAAACTTTGGGTCACGCCAATTTTTGAAATACAGAAAAGACTGAGATTGTATTGTTTTCACAGTTAACTGGGCCAGTACCTAAAATCGTAATGTGCTCATAAGTCTGTCTGCGTGTGTGTTTGTTTTATGACACAGGTCATCGAGAATGCCTCCTCACAAAGGGACAATGTCATCAGCGCTTTATACAGCAGCTTAAATAAAGCCATACTTTTCTGCCTCTCCAAGCCCCAGCAGTCCCTGTCCGAGTGCCTCAGCCTCCTCAGCATCCTGGACTTCCTACAGGAGCACTGGGACATTGTCTTTGCCACCTACAACTCCAACTCCAGCTTCCTGCTGTGCCTCATGCACTGTCTGTTCCTGCTCAGTGACAGGAGGTAAGAGCTGCCCACGCATCTGGTTTTGTGCCACCGGTGGTCAGTGCAGAAAAGAAACCTTCAGAGGGACACCAGAGTGAGGTCAATATAAGTGACAGAACCCTGTGTTTACTGGACGTGCAAATTAAGTACAGCGTTTGATGATATGGCAGGTCTCCCTCAAACCTGTCCATATGACTGAGCATCTAGAATCATCCTAAAATAATTATTTACCCTATTTCCACAATTCTCAGGTTGTAAGATTCTTCATGGATTTAATTTTGGGGGTGGAAAACTCCAACATTAAATATGCACTTTGATTTTATGATGCAGGCAATTTCAGAAATATTGACATTTGATCAATACAGCCATAGAATGGAAAAACATGTAAAATAAATTGTATTATGCAAACCAGGAATAATTTTGCTTACAGAAACAAATATACAGACATATATATATGTCTATATATATGTCTATATATGTCATGGTATAAAATAACATCTGTAAGTACGCTGGTGTAAGAAGTACTAATAACAAAAATGTAATCTCATTTAAACCCTTTTCTTGGNTAGACATATATATGTCTATATATATGTCTATATATGTCATGATATAAAATAACATCTGTAAGTACACTNCAGACATATATATATGTCTATATATATGTCTATATATGTCATGGTATAAAATAACATCTGTAAGTACGCTGGTGTAAGAAGTACTAATAACAAAAATGTAATCTCATTTAAACCCTTTTCTTGGAGTCCCAACTGGGAAAGCATGTTCGGTTTCTCTGCGCATGTGTTTCTCTCTGTGTGTGGCAGTCTGTGTACATCAGGTGTCACCAGTGCCTGGTGTCACACTGCCCACGGAGCCATGCTGAGTCTGGAGGAAGAGAGGACCATGTGATATTACATTTTACTCTTGTTCTGGATTGTTTTTATCACAGTACAAATTATATTTGCTTACTGGGGGAAAAAATTCCCCAAATCCTGTTGAGACGACTATTGAACATTAAAAAACAGTTACTCTCTGGGAAGCACTGGGAGATAGTCATACCCCTGGCCCGGAGGAGACACCTGCCTTTTCGTTTTTTGAAATAAAAGAAGCCACTTTCAGTGTCTGGATTTAATGGGAGGTCTTTCTTTTCTGTACTTTAAGAATCGGGTCCTGCCCACACTGAAGGCATAGGTAACAGAGAAAATGCCAGCTGGTCTCTGTGCTTGGAGTTCCACCCTCATCAGATCCCTCTGTTTAGCAAAATGGATTCCAAAATCCAAAGGGACTTTCATTCTAAAAATTTCAAGAATGGACATTGTCATATGCTGTATTTTTTTCATTTTCTTGTTTGTCGTTTTTGGTTCAATCTGCAAACATGTACTGAGTGTATATTCTGCTTGGTGGGCTGAGGGGCCTGAAGAAGAGGGAACATGGATATTACCATGAGCAGGGGCCCTGGAGCACACAGTTCATGGGATCCTAGTATGTAAACCACTACATCCCACCTGGAACCAACTCTGGGACGTGCAGGGTCCCGGAGAAGTGCAAATGAGGGCCCCTTGTTTAAAAATTGCTATGAACTTCAGGATGGTAACAGAGGAGTCCAAGCATGGGTTCTTTCTGAGTGTGGATCCTGTCACACTGCACAGGTCACAGGCCCGTGGTGCTGGCCCTGGTCCCATTCCCAGCAGGATGAGGTCAGGGCCAGACAAATGCAGAATTCAGTGCTTTGGGTATCTGCAAAAAGAAATGACCAATTCTAGTGATGGGGAAACAAGAGAGGGTTCAGGGGGCTCTGCTGGGAGCATGGGGTGGCTTTAATAAGGCAAGAACAAAAAATTGGTGTTTTTCCTATTTTCCGGAATGCTGTTGTATGATATCTGTCATGGAAACTGTCCTAAGCTGTTTGCTTGAACTTGATTAGATTCTGTTTCCATATTAACATGTACTGTGTTTGGAGGATGATTACTTGTAATAAAAATCAATGGCCTAACCCCAAGGAAACCGTATTTTATAGTGAAAAATCTCTCATCTGCTAGTTATCCAGAAGGATTCGGATTGGAACCCAAGCCCAGAATGACTCCGTATCATCAAGTGTTTCTTGCCTCAAATGAAGAAGTGAGAGAAAAGAGAGCGGACGACTTGCCAAGTCTGAGTGATGGTACGCTTCACATGCTGTCTCCCTGGGGGGGTGGGCAGTGATGATGCCTGGGATTCCTCAGCGCATCTTTCCCAAGATGAGGACTCGCATACTACTAAGGAGATACTCAAAGGCCGGAAGAAGCCCTAGAAAGTCCCAGAATGATGTAGTAGCACGGCCAGGTAACCTGATAGGGGATGAACCTGGAGTGAGTTTTGCATGTTAAAAATGGAATGGGATGGATGGATGGATGGATGGATGGATGGATGGATGGATGGATGGATGGATGGATGGATGGATGGAGAGAGCTCTGTGGGACTTGGTTAGACTAAGAACGAGAGTGCCTCATTGTCAGTTGACCTCACATCTCGGTTGATCTCGAATCGTCCTTTGAAACACTAGATATAGCAACTGGCATGCATCCCAGTTTAAGCTGTCATATTAGCTGTCTCCTCAGCTTTCTTCACTAGAAAATGGGAACAGAGTAAATAAACTCATTTTTTATGAAATATTTAGCTTAATGGAGGTCATTTTTGGATTTGCTAATATCAAGTCAAGTTAAAGGGACTGACAGGTTGTAAAAGAATAAATAGCATTTAGTTCCACATGTTTGAGAGATGATCCTTTTCAGTCCTGGAGGCCTCAGCAGGCCTTCCTCCACCACTCTGCTTTGCTGCCTCTTACCTGTGATATTTTGTAATATTTTCTGGTCAGATAGGTACCCAAAGCCAGTGCTCAAAAGTCTTGTGAATTGACATTTTACTCTTACAGTGCTAATTACAACATGAACATTTGCATTTGGGGACTTGGTTGGTAGAGTGGACTGAGCAATGTTCATCCCCATAGACTGAAAACACAAACTGTAGAGGCTGGTGCCAGAGGGGCACCCAGTGGGAAGCTCAGAGGGCATTTAGGCACTGTCATGGGATTATAGTCATGGGGTTTAGCAGGCAGAGCGGCTTGGTAGATTTGTCTATGTATGGACAAATACAGGGCACAGAGAGGGGTGGCTGGTGGGAAGCTTGAGCCAGTGCCAGGGAAGAGGACTGGCTTGGGTCCTGGTCCCATGGGAACAGTCTTAGTTTTGGCATCCATTCCCCTGAGGGGCTAATAGAAAAGATAGGTTGGAAGGAGCTTTCAGGGGGAAGCTATTTGGTTACATAGAGCTCCCACAGGTATCCCTCTGTTTGGTACCTAACAGAATTGGGAGGTGAGAGGAAGAAGTTCCCTAAACTCATCCATCATGATTCCCAGCTCTGGACATGAGGGGCCGGTAGGACTTGGTGGTGGGGAATTAGAAGCAGGGAAAAGCCAGGTCTCATAGACGTGGGCAGACTGCAGAGCTAGGGTGACGTCCAGAAAGGACGCAGATGAAAGCAGCCAGGCGCTGCCCCCGGCGCTCAGTGCTCGGCTCGGAGCCCCGGCCGGCTGGTGACGCCCTGCTCTTCCCACAGCCCAGCACAGCGTCCAGAAGGCCGTGCACACCCTCTGGCAGCAGCTCGTGGCACAGAGGCGGCAGGAACTGGAGGACACTTTCAAGATTGACCTCTCCGTGAAACCTGCGGAGAGAGAAGTGAAGATGGAAGAGGTCACCCCGCTGTGGGAGGAGTTGATGCTTAAGGCCTGGCAGCATTACCTAGGTCTGTCCGCTTGGCTCCGGGGCCTTCCCAGGGTTCCCCTCGGGCCCAAAGCCTCTTCACCAGACCTTCTCCCTTGTTCCTCTGGGTGGGACTTACATCACTGAAACCTCATGAACCTTTGCTCACAGAGAATAGATGCTGCTTTGCATCTTAGGTGACAGGAAGGCCAGAGGTGCCAGCCGAGCACGTGGACCCTAGAAACCTCTGAGAATGAAGGGCCACCATGTCAGAGCTCATCCTCGGCTCTGCCGCGTGGAGCCTCGGTCCTGCCCTGATGCTCACCCACCAAGTTATGCAGTGACCAGGAGCCCCAGTTTCTTCATGTTCCAAGTGCAAGTCTTCATCCCAAAGATATTAGTGTCCCTTGCATTCTATCAATGACTCAACATTTTACCCCCATATTAGTCAGTGCAGCTGTGGGGATGATGTTTTAATTTTGTTTTTGAAGAGGTTATTGCTGTCAAATTATAGCTCATATTCGTGTTTCAAGTCTTCTAGCATCACCAAGTTCACAGTCATCTAAGAGCTGGCTATTCCATGCATATTGTCCCAGACTACTCAGTGGTCCAGCACCCCTTTGTCATTGGCTTCCCAAATTAGCCTTGGCAAGTATGTATCTACACACATGTGCCATTTGAGGTTAAAGTGTCAGATTGCATTTCAGAGAAAAGTTCACCTAAACAGGACATGTGTGCCCATGTACATGGAGTGGACTAAACGGTGAGATGGACCTTACAGCTAACAAATGGCTCTCTTTTAGCCAGCAACCATATTTTGCAAACTTTCTATATTTCATGGCCTGTTTTAAATACATAATCTTATTTACTCTCCATGACACTACAAGGAGGTGAGATACTATTATTCCCATTTTACAGGATGAGAACACTGAGGCTTAGGGACTTTAACTAACTTGCCCAAAGTCAGTGAGCTGTGGAGCCAGGTCTAAGCCGGGTCGGGAGAGCCAGAAACCCATCTTGCATTTCTTCGCCAGAAGACGGCCCCATGAGCGTGAAGCCTGGGCTGTTTCCCTTACTGGAGGCAGGCATGCTGGGCGCAAGCCCCTGGCTGGCCATTGGAAAGCCCAGCCAGCTGTAGAAAGAGTGTGTGTTCTCCTCTCAATTCCTCCTGACAGTCTTTGCTTCCCTGTCCCCAGCATCTGAGAAAAAATCTCTGGCCAGTCGTTCGAATGTCGGACACCACAGCAAAGTCACTTCGTGGAGTGAAAGCTTGTCCTCAGCCATGAAGCTGATCCCTGGGCGGCAGACCAAGGACCCCGAGTGCAAGACAGAGGTGAGCCTAGACCCCTTGTCCTTGGAGAAGCATCAGGCATTTTCTTCAAATGCCATGAGCCACATCCCCTCTCTCTTTGTCACTAGATACATCTAATTCCTTGTTCTTCTGAGCTTTGAAGGGTATGCATGTGGCTTCCCAGGCCAGGGAGCCAGGCCTTAGGATAGCTTTAACTGCAAGACAATATGGGCTTCCCTTGAGCCGGTGTTCCTCACAACACTAAAACCAAACAGATCCTTGACCCACCCTCCTTTTGAGTCGGATGTACTCAGAGCACTAGCCCATAGCTCGTAGGAGCTGGGTGTGTGGGCTCAGCAGAGGGGGCCAGAAATGTTGGTGCTGTTATTGGGAGATGTGGTGTTAGAAGCTCTTGACTAACTGAGCTTCTAACTGAGACTTTGGGGTTTCTAATTCATTTCTCTAAAGCTGCTTAACAAATGATCCTAAGACTCAGTGGCTCCAACAATGAATTTTTTGTAATTTGGAGCATAGTGGGTTTAGGGGTTGTCTCTACTCCAAGATGCCTGCGCCTTTTCTAGAGTCATTGGAGGGCTTGTACTCACTCATCTGGTGGGTGCTGCTGACTTTAATCTGATACCTTAACAGCGACTTGGTCGGGACACCTGTGTAAGTGTCCTGGACTTCCTTACAGCCTGGTGCCGAGCCTCAAGGACTAATTTTCATAGGAAGGAGAAGGAGAGAGAGAGAGAGCCTTCTATGACCCATGACCTCTCTTCGGAAGCTATGCCTCACTCTGCAGGGTTCCTTTGGCTGAGAGAGGCACAGAGCTCTACCAGGGTCAAGGGCAGGATGTGCGCTACTCCTGGTGAGGCAGAGTGCTGCAGGAGCGTGCAGGCTCTTCTTGGGAAACACAATCTGTCACATATTCTAACCCTGGGGTCACTGACCGATCTTCAGAGGCAGGCTGATTATTGAATGGACATGGCCTCAAGGTCGGGAGACTGTGGGCAATTCCTTAACTTCTCTGAGTCTGTCTCTTCACCTCCACAATGGGACAAATAACCGTGGGTGCCTGTGGGAAAGAGCTCCGCAGAGAGGAAGAATAGATGGGTGATAGACACATCACACAATTTGAGCTCTCTGTCTATTTAACTTTGGAAAGTGAGCTTGACTCCAAATGCCACCTGCTTAGAGTCTGGGCCCTGCTGTCCCCATGTGCCCACTGGGGTCGGTGACTAATGGGGAGAGGCACTGTCATCAGATTCTGGGGATAAGAGAGGAAAGTTTCCTTGTTCTAAGCATCCGAAACGAGGCTTCTGAAACAAGAGGCTTCCAAAACAAGAGGCTTCGGGACACAGGGAGAAGGAGCCTGAACACAGAAGGGAAGCCGGGAAATGAGCTTAGGGGCTGCGGGCCTCCTGGTGTCAGAACTAGGCTGGTCTGTGTCCGAGCTCTTTGGCTTGTGAAAGACACTGCTCAGTAAGTTTGATGACAAACTTTCTGGCCGACTGAGTGAGTGAATAACTTACTTAGATTTTCTATCAGCTGCATCTTGCAGCTGTTATAAGCTCCATTATATAGATGTGGAAACTGAATCTAAACCAAAGTCAGGGGCTTCACAGCCAGGAGGCTGCAGAGTGCAGGTGCTGCCCGGCATGGCCTCAGGCCATTTCGTTACCTCTCAGAGCCTTGGTTCCTGGACACACAACAAGAATGGGCTCTGTTTATGCCAGAATGTGAGGGAACTCTTGGAAACTGCAAGTGCTTAGGAAGAGAAGACAGTTTACAAAATTCCACTTTCCTGTACAGCTTTCTCCACTGAGGCAAAAGCATTCCACACCGGGCTTCGCTGCACAGAGCCCTGGAGGCTGAGCTTCCCTGCTTGTGCCTGGGCACTTGCTCCGGGCCAGTGCCTGTGTGGCAGGAGGGATCCATCCCCTCTCCCCTCAACTCTACCCTGGAGCTCCTACTCCTTGCCCAAGTCAGGCCTGTCTGGCTTGGAACCAGGGGTGGGATGGCTGGGATGCTGGGCATGGGCATGCATTTTATGGGGACCCTTGCAGGCTATTGAAGCTGCCTCTTGCCAGTGCCACGCTCCCTCCCAGGCCACTGTCATTGGCTCCTCTCAGCTGCCTCTGAGTCCTGGGGAGATGGGTTGAGAAACCAGTTCATCTGAGAGAAGCTGGAATAGGCTGCAGTGTTTGGGGCCGGGAAGGTGCACAAATGGCCTGGCACTGTTCTCTTCACTCACTGAGAGGTCTGCAAAAAGGATATTTGAAATGGCTTTGTCCTTTTGTGAAGGCTGTTGAAGATGTTTCTACATCAGCTGAGGTCTCATTCATTCATTTACTCAACAAGTATTCCTTAAGTGCTGACTCTGTATCCTCTCTCAGCACTGATGTTACAGAAGAGAGAAACTAACTTTGCCTCTGCTTTAGTGGCGGCTGCTTTTTAGGGGCTGAAGGTCGACAGTAAACAGATAAATAAATTCATAAATGTTGGGGGTGCTGATTGCAATGAGGAAAAATAGAGCAGGGAAGTGGGAGAGGTGACGAGAGTTGCCGGGCTGTTCAGATGAGGTGGTCAGCTGCCCTCCCTGGGGGAGGCGTGGGAGCAGAGACAGGGCGGACACCGCCTCGTTACTGTCCGGGAGGGAGCGGTCGGGCCGAGAGGCCCCAGGAAAGGCAGCGAGGCAGGCGAGCGCTGGGGGTCCTGAGGCAGCAAAGGCTCGGTGGCTGGACTGGAGTGGAGGGGACGGCCAAAGGGGACATCACCCTCAGCTGTCATTCCCGGGAAGAGCTGCATGTTTCCACAGCAGCTCGTGAACAGCGGGACTTCTGTCTCTGTGACAGTTTCCTCTTTGATCGGGGCACTCAGAAGCTTGGGGGGATGAGAAGGGCCCAATTCTTGTAAAACTGCACATACCTGGTGGGATAAACTTCTGCAAAACACACGTACACGCACACACACACGTGCATGTGCACACACACACACACACACACACCCCGCTTCTTCCTTCCTGTCTGAGCCCCTTTGTTTATTCTGAAACCTGATTTGTTTATCCTTTCTACAGCTTATAACCTGTGGGCTTTTAAAGCCAAATTATTTTTGAAACAAAGTGGATTATGTTTTAATTTTCAAAGTGAACTGCATCTTTGCTTAGCAGCATCCTATGCCAGTACCTCAGCCTGGCTGGGCACAGTGCCTGTTACTCAGAGGTTCTTAAGGGAAGTGCAGGGAACCGCGTGGAGCTGCCATCCTTTGGCTGGGGTGACACTCACCAGCCCCAGGCCCCGCACTTGTCACGCATCCTTGCCATGCCTTTGCTGCTGACAGAAGGCACACTTCTCAGGTACATATGTACACCATGATGTCACAGGGTAAGAGCATCAACTATTTGCCCTGGGGTCTGTTTAATTATTTTTAAAAATTAATTTTGATTATTACAGCTGATTACACCTCAGTGAGCAATGTAATTGATATTTTCTAATGTATCCCAAGGAACATTTTGTACAACACGCTTTTTGTTGTTGAAGGTTAAAGACTCCGTTATTGGTTTTTCCCTAAATACGCCCATATCATTAGTCCCTCCAGCGAGGGGGTCGCCATCTGGAACAAGCAGCACGGAGACATTACTCAGGCACAGTGCATGAAATTGGGGTTTCTGCCGCCTCTGTCTCTTCTGGAAAGAAGAGGCTTGTAATTAAAGGAGTTGGTTTGGAGGAAACATTACTCATTTGGTGCTATCCCTTATCATGTCAGCAGCTGACAGCGCCGCGGCACTGAGAAACTGGTCCTGGGCCAGACGTGCTGTGCACGAGCCACTTCCTCCGCCTCGCTCCACTTCCAGGAGAAATCGTTTCCTCCCTGGCAGCTGGGCCTCGAGGCAAGGCTGGTGTGATAGATGCTGCTTCTTGTTTTCTTCCCGGGACCCCTTCCCAGTCCCCCTGGGACCCTGTTGTGAAGCTGTGGTCTCTACCAGGGCACAGGCTGTGGCACCGGCCTGTTGGACAGAGGTTGGGATCTTGGGCTCCCTCGGCCACCAAAGGCCAACTCAGGGTGCCCGGGAGCCGCCACCTCCTTCCCTGCCGTGTGGAGAGATGCAGAGGGCACTCCTCTCCACAGCAGTGCTCGTGACTCCGCTCGCTGTTCAGTTCCCGACTTTTTGTTTAAAAACAAGTTGGATAAACATCACCAACCAATGCTGAGCCTTTCTTAGTTTTGACAAGCAGACCTTGGCAATGGTGTCAGTCAAAATGACATTACCCTCTGGGAAACCAAGTAAGGGGCTGACAAGAACTCTCTGTACTATCTTTAGAACTTTTCTCTAAATCTAAACTTATTCCAAAATATAATTTTTTTTAAGCATTAGCAAATAGAAATGAGTATACTGGACATGGGGACCGGATGGAAGGGGCTGAGAGGAGGAGCGGCTGCTGAGCCTGGGCAGAGCAGAGGGGAGGTCGGGGGCATGGTAGGTGGTATGGGGTCAGGGGTTGGGGAGCGTGGCCTCTAGGTGGGGGTTCTGTATTACAGGCGAGATCAGAGGTCGGGGAGCCTGAGGGCGGAGCCGGTTGGGGACTATAGCGTCATTCAGGGGAAGACAATGGTGCAGCAGCGGCAGTGGTCAGCTGTGGAAGTTAAAGAACAGGCCCGAGAATGCGCAAGACAAGGGAGCAAGCCATGGGAAGGGGGGTGTCCAGGCACAGGGGTGTGTGACTTGGATGGTCTATTGGCTCTGCAGACTGGGAGGAACAAGCCAGGGGAGGAAGGTAGGGTGCAGTGGGGCCCGTGGGTGGGCTCAGCTGCCTGACCTATGTCTTATCTGGCCAAGTGGGAGTCAGATTTCAGCCCACTTTCCTCCTGGGATCAGCTATACATTGTCTCAAGCAGGGGCCTGGAGGCCCCACTGTAGCAAATTGGGGGGCTTATCAGGAGCACACCCTGTGGAGCAGGGCCGGGCCCTGTGTCCTGCATGTTTCGTGGCTTTTGGAGATAGCTGAGCAAGCTTGCAGTGCTGTTTGTGAGGCTGAAATGGC